GGAGTTATCCTCGACAAAGCCATTCCCTCTACAGATGGCCCTGATCTCATCCCCTTCCATCTTCTCTAGCATATTGCCCCTGCTATCATCCCTACTATCTAATCTTCAATCTTTCCCTATCTCCATAGATAGTTCCCTCTTGGTTCCCTGCTAAGTACAAATGTGCCCAAGTCTCCCTCATCCTTGAAAAGTCCTTACTAGTTCCTACCATGTCTGCTAGGCTCTCCTCTTACATCTATCCCTTCATTCTCTCCTAGCTCTTTGAAAAAGGTGTTATGCTCAAAATGCCTCCATTTCTCATCCTCTTCTAAACCCTCTGTGATTTGGCTTCTGATTTCATCACTCAGCCAGAAGTGCTCTCTCCAAAGTTACCAGTGATCTCTTAACTACCCAATCTCAATCCCCTTCCTCCTTGACCTTCCTGTAGCACCTGGATACTCTTCCTGGATACTCTTTTCTCTCTGGGTTCTGATGGTCCTGCCCATGTTCTCCCACTCTCACCCTCTCCCACTCTCTTGGTTCTCTGACTTGTCTGCCTACTCCCCTTTAGTCACCTTTTCCAGATCTTCATCCATGTGATGCTTGCTAACTGTAGGTGTCCCCTAAGGCTCTGTCTTGGACATTCCTCTCTTTAAAGCCTTTGATTTGTTGACATGATCAGCTTCCATGGGTTCAGTGATCATCTCTGTGTAGATAACTCTCAGCTCTATGTATCCAGCCCTGCTTCTTCTTCCGAGTCACACACTTCCAATTACCTATTAGATATTTTAAACTGGCTGTCCCCTAGGCATCTTAAACTCAACATATATGAAACATTCCTCATTATCTTTCCCCCCAAACCTACCCCTCTTCCCTATCACAGTAAAGAGTACCACTATCCTTCCAGTCACCCAGATTTGCAATCTTGGCGTCATCCTCAGCTCCTCATTCTCACTCACTTTACATATTCAATCAGTTGCCAAATCTCAAAAATCAGCAAATGATACAAATCAGGGCTCAATTTATTCTGTTGATTGTCTAGACTTAAGAAAATTATGGAGAAAATATTAATAATGTACTTAAAAGTGTGTTATGTACATTCCTCTCCCTACCCTGAAGAGCCAGTTGTTAAACATTTACCAGCATGGGGGCCATTTCTAGTCATCCTGATCTATATCTTGCCGCTGGATCCAGATGGCCCCAGAAGAGAGTGAGGCTGGTGACCTTGCACAGTCCTGCCTCACTTAAATCCAATTCACTTACAAGTCATGGCATCCCATTCCTGATGTCATGGTCCTCTTTGAGGACAAAGGACCAACAACAGCCACCATATCGCTCATCTTTGGTCCTCTGAAAACGTGGCTGGTCATTGCATTGATGAGATCTCAAGTCTTTCAGATTTTCTTTTTACATTTCTTTGTAGCAATTGTTCTGCTCACTTTACTCAGCATCAAGTCATATTAGCCAAGATTCTCTGAAATCACCTCTTGTTACTTATTACAGGTACAACAATATTCCATTAAACACAGATTATTCAACCATTCCTTGATTGACCGAGAGGTAATCTAAGGAACAGCCTTAGATTCTAGAAGTTTGTTTTTCATCTCCTTCCCTTCCTTTTCTCCCTATTGAGGAAGTTTGCTTTGCTTTTAGCTATTCCTTCCCTGGTATTATCTTCCCTCTTAACTCCCACCCTCCCCCAAACACACAATACACTTTATTTCTTGTTGAACTTGATGTATTTTGACACAAAACTCTTCACTTGTTTTCAAATATCCTTTGTCCATTTCAAATAACAGTGAGATTCATCAAATGCCTGCTCTCCCTGTCCCTTCCTCTATGATTGAATACTCTTCTACTATAACCCAATTATGAGAAATGTAAATTCCATCCCTTTATTACTACTTTCTGCACAATTGTATTCTTCCTTCTATTCTCCTTTCTCTGTCTCTTCTTAAACCTTCCAGAAAAGAAGCAATCCACCCTTAACACCTCGGTTTTTCTTATTTACTTCCTCAATACATTTAATTTAAATTTAATTTAATTATTCATTTAAAGCACCAGAGACCTTTTTATTTTCTTTTTTTCAATTCAAATTCTCTTTCTCTCCTTTACCCAATGAGATGGCAAGAAAAACAAAACCCAGTACAAATATGTATAGCCATGCAAAATAAATGTCTTTATTAGCCATGTCCCCCCCCAAAAAAAAAAGAAAAGGAAGAAAAAATATGCTTCAGTCTGTATTCCGAGCCCATCACTTCACTATCAAGGTGGATAGCATGTTTGGAATTATGGTGGGTCATTGTGTTGATCAGAGTTACTGACTCCTTCAAAGTTGGTTATCTTTATAACATTGCTTTTACTGTATATATTATTCTTCTAGGTCTGATCATATCACTTTACATTAGTTCATATGTTTTCCCAGGTTTTTCTGAAACCAACCCCTTTGTTATTTCTTATAGCAGAATAGGATTACATCATTTTCATGTACCACAGTTTGTTCAGCCATTCTCCAATCGATGGACATCCCTCCAGTTTCCAATTCTTTGCCACCACAAAAAGGGCTGCTATCAATGTTTTTGTATATATAGGTCCTTTTCCTCTTTCTTTGATATCCTGGGGGTATGTCCCTAGTAGCTGTATTGCTGGCACAGTTTAATTGCCATTTGAGCTTAGTTCCAAGTTGCTTTCCAAAATGGTGGGACTAGTTCATGGCTCTGCAAGTACATTAGTGTGTCTGTTTCTCTATATTCTCTCCAGCTTTGGTCATTTTCCCTTGTTGTCATCTCAACCAATCTGATGGGTGGGAGGTGGTACCTCAGAGTTGTTTTCATTTTTATTTCTCTCATTATTAGTGATTTAGAGTGGCTTCCCCCCCCCCATTGGCTATTAATTCTGTTGATTTCTTCCTCTGAAAACTTCCTATTCATTTACTTTGACCATTTATTAATTGGGACCTCAATTTGCTTTGAAGACATTAAGGTTCTGAAGAGAGATTTTTCCCCCCTCCCATTAGAATGTTAGTACACCATCGTATAGCTCCTTCTAATTACTTGAATAAATCTAACTTTTTAGATTTTTCTTGATTCTTGTGATTGTATTTTAAAGTTCCCAGCTGTTTTTTGTTTTAATAAAAATGCTTGAAAGTCCACTTGAAAGTCATCAGGAGTGCACTGAAGATTCTTTCTCATCTCTACTCCCTCATGTAGATTATACTAAGCTTTTAGATTGCTAAGTCTGTATCTTTTGCCTTTTGGGATCTTGTGTTTCAAGAACCCCTCCTTTTACTAGAGCAAGCTGCTAGGACTTGTGTAATTCTGACTGTGGTACCTTGGTATTAGAACTACTTCTCTTTGGACACTTGAATTACTTTTTCTTTTTATAGCTCTGGATTTTGACTATAACATTCTTGGGAATTTTTTTGTTAATATTTCTTTTGGGAGGTAATTGGTGATTCTTTCTGTCTTCATTTTGTCCACTGTTTATAATATATCTAAGCAGTTTTCATTGATGACTTCTTGAAACATGATGTCCACACGTGTATGTGTGTGTGTATATATATATATGTATACATACATACATATATATATATATATATATATACATATACACATACATACATATATATATCTTTTAGGGAGTTCTGTGATTCTTAAATTGTCTTACATTGATATTTTTTCTATACCACTTGCTTATGACAGAAGATATTTTACATTTTCTTCTTTTTTTTAATCTTTTGATTTTATTCTAACATTTTTTTATGTCTCATGGAGCCACTGATTTTTTTGTTTGGTCTATTCTGGTTTTTAGGGAGTTTGTTACTTGGGTGAAGTTTACCACTTTCTGTTCTAAGCTATTTATTCTCTTCCACATTCATTTCTTCAGAGATTTTATTTCATTTTTTTAATCACTTAATTAATTTTTTTCCTCTAGGTATTCAGGTAGTCCTTGTGAAAAGACCATTCCTCCCCCTTTTTCCTATGAATATCTTTTTGTTTGCACTTGTTATGGAGTTACTCTTTTCTTCTTTGGAGGGATTACTAGAGCTACAATTATTTTTATACTAGTTGGTGTTTTCTTTATTTATTCATTTTTCTTGTTTTAGTTCTTAAGTTGGGGTTTTGTGGTAGGGCCATCCTTCTTTCCCTGCCAAGCTTTTGGATTGGATTATCAGCCCTCCTTGGTCTTCCTCTAGGTCACCCAGGCCCTTGCGTTGACCTCCACCTCCGTTGGTTAAGCCTCCCCAAACCTCTGAGCTTCAGAGTACCAGATCTTTAGGGTCTTCTCTGGTGCCTCATTACAGAGTATTGGAAACCTCAGAAGCCCCTTGGCCTGGGGCATCCCAATCTGAGTGCTGTGGTGTCATGATGTTTGCTACCTGTTAATATTCTTGACATTTCCAAGGTTCTGATCCTGCCCTAGGTCTACCTGACCTTCCTGTGGCTTTTTAGGGGAAGCCCTTGACTCTTGTTGCCTCTAGACACAGAGTTTCTAGGCAGTCTTTGGTCACTTTGGGAGGCTACCCTGTCCTGCTGCTGGCTTTGCCACTAGAATCTGTCCTTGTTGTCCTCAGGCTTCTGGCTGACCTCATGTAGTTCTGGAGTGGAAGAAGTTACTTTCTGTAATTTCTCATTGGGTTTCTCTATCACACAGTCTGGTGAACTTCAGGGTTTTGCTGGAGTAGTTACATGGGAACTAGGTGGTCTGCCTTTGTTCAGGTGGCTGTCAACCAAAAGTCAAAAACCAGAATATCTCAGTTACTTTATTTTCTCTGTTCTCTCAAGAACTCTCATTTCTCTACATCCTTCCTAATTTTTAATCATTGCAATCCCCCCTCAGTCAACTAATTGTTTATCCACGCTAATGGAGAGGGGCAAAGTTTTAGATAATCTCCAAATCAGTTATATTTGACTTTGGAATTTGTTCTCCAATATTTTAACAAGATGAAATATGAATAATCATCCTGTTGGTAGTCAAGAGCTGACTGCATGTTTTCAAAGTAATCTATATTCTTCCCCTAGATAAGCCAAGAAGATAAATCAAAATGGCAAGTGGCAAGCTTCAAGGACATGTGGGTCAAACAAAGTTGGTCCGAATGCTCAAAGGATTCCAAGGCAGCAGAGTCCTGGCACCGAAGCTGGTCTCAGAAGAGGAAGCAAACAAAATGGTAGAGTCCCCTCACTCTGGGATCATATAGAATGCAGATTTTCAAGAGAATCATCTAGCAAGTTTTTTTGCTCTTTGGCTTTCTCAGATTAGTAGAGTGAGAATTAGTTCACTGATTAATATTTATTCAATAACATGGCAGCTGGTTGGGAGAAAAAAGTGATTTTGGAAAGTCTATGAATCTCTTAAGCCCTTAGAAGTTCCTGAAATCCTAAGAGCAAAGAAGACTAAAGAAGTTTGGAACACCCCAATTTATCAGCTGAAATGAAAATACACAAGCAGCCAGCTGGGGTTGCTAACTCTTAGGTCACATTGAGTGGCAGATTGTTTGGGATGGATAATAATAAGATAATATGGAGCATTTTTATTTTCAGGAGAACTTACAAATCACAAGAGAAAGAAACCCTGGAAAATACATGTCTCCTTTAATTTTCAATTATATCATTTTTATGATTCTAACAATGAACCTAGTATTATAAAAAAAAAGCTATGGTTTTAGGGGCATGGACCATTTTATTTTTAACTCCTTTTATGGTATGTTCTAATTTAAAAAAAAAAGGATCAGCTTTATCTAGTCCTCCTCTTTACGGTATATGCTCAAAATAACCTGTAAACTTAGCCACCACCAAGAGATGCCAAAACATGGCTTATTTCTTTTGAAATTGTATTAGTCCAACCTAGATTCCAATCAAACATTGAAAAGCCTGTCCTAATCTATAGCTATAATGGAAAGATGTCCCAATGCACTTATGCTAGATTCAGGCACTAACATGCAATTTTGAAGGGGAATAAACTCTTGGGGAAGAAACTGATTTTAGCCCAAGGCAAAATAGATCAGATAAATAATGTACTTTTCAATGTTTTTTTTTAAAAAAACCAACAAACAAATTGTGTCAGATAATTCTTGTTACTTCCAGTAATCATGGATATTCATTCAACAAATTTTATTCATGCTCACTGTGTGCTAAGCATTGTAATACGCAGTCATTGCCCTAAAGAAATCTGGCATCTACTACTACCTAGACCGGTGTTCTCTCTCTCTCTAGGCTGAAAGCCGGAATGTTCTCTGTGGGGAGGAGGAGGGGGAAGGGAAGTCGGGGGAAGGGCAAAATCTGTCCTAGGGTTTGAGGATGATAGGCAAAAGTTCATCAGCAAAATCAGCTGGATCTAGGGATTTACCCACTTTTGAACTTTGAGTCAATTTGGGGGTGAGGAAGGCATGGTTATCTGTTGTCTAAACAGAGTTCTGTCCAAGGGCAGCAGAAGCAATCCAGGATTATGGAGAAAAGCTTAAGTTAAACCAATGTTCACCAATAAGGGGATAAGCAGACTTCAGAATCAAAGGCCAGAGAGCTGACTTGTCCAGCTTGGCCCCAGAGGGTGGGATTGGGACCAGTGGATTAAAGTAACAGGGAGATTTTGGCAGAACATAAAGAAAAACTTCCTAATAATGAAAATTGCCCAGAAATAGATTGGGCTGCCTGGGTTATTCGCTCCATGCTACGGGTCTTCAGGTGAAGGCTGATGACCACTTGTTGGAGTGTTGTGGAAGGGAGTCATTCTTCTGGTAGAGATTACACTGGGTAATACCAGATGTGCCTGGTAGCTGAGGGACTCAATGATTTTAAACCTTAGCACTTTGAGCTTGAGTTCTGATCCATTCAGTAAACCTTTATGAAGTTCCTACTCTGTATGAATGTTGTTGTTCAGTTTTGTCTTACTTGCTATGACCCCATTTGGGGTTTTCTTCACAAAGATATTAGAGTGGTTTTCCATTTCTTTATGAGGAAACCAAGGCAAACAGGGTTAAGTGACTTGCCCAGGGTCACACAGTTGGAAAGTGTCTATTGCCAGATTTGAATTCAAGAAGATGAGTCTTTCTGACTCCAGGCTCGGCACTCTACCCATTTCACAAAACACTGCACTAAGGGCTGAAGATGGAAAGATGAAAAGCTTTATAGACTTTCCCCTTTTGGGTTGGTGGGCTGGCCCCAGCCACACCCTCATATTCCCCTCTTTCAGTCATGCTGATCTATATCTGGCCACTGGATCCAGATGGCTCCAGAGGAGTGAGTGTGAGGCTGGTGACCTTGCACAGCCATCTCTCACGTGAACCCAATTCACTTGCATATCATGGCATCACCTCCTGGATGTCATGGTCCTCTTGGACAAGGAAGGGCAAACACCAACAACAGCCTTTGAGCAGTTTCAACCATAGACAAGAGCGGATGTATGAGCATCCCGGAAATCATAATTATGAAATCAATAGTGATTATAAGCACGGATTTGTCATTGTTTCTGTCTAAGAGAGAAGTTGGGTTAATTGGGTTAGATTTAGTCAGATGATGGGGGCCATTTTATTGTTTTCAGTTGATCAACAAATGTTTATTGTTTTGTGTGAGCCAGGCCCTGGGGGTGCAAAGAAGAGCAAAAACAGTCCCTATGCTGAAGGAGCTCATGTTCTAATGGGGCAACAACGTGAAAATAACTCCACATGCACAAGATGCACATGGTGCAATGGAAGCCAGTCTCATCAGAATGGTGTTAGCAGTGGAGAATGTTGCTGCTTGTTTAGTTAATTAATTAATTTAATCAATGGGAATGGCCATTAAGTGTAGGTCAGAGAAGTGGCCTGAACTGTCTTTTCTCAGGTGATCAGATAGTATCTAAACTTTTAGGGAGAGATTTTTTAAAAAATCAAATTCACATTTGAATAACAAAATAAACTAAGCCCTTCTTTTTTTTGGTGCTATTTGTCCTTATGTCTTTTCTCAGCATTTCGCAGTCTATATGGCACAGCTGCTGAGTTTGGAAGCTGAGGGGAATCCTGAGTGTGTGGCTCTCTCGTCATGTTTTCCAGGCTTTCCCTTCATAATCATTTGTGGGATCCAATTAAATTTTAAGAGGGAAAATAAAAGAAAAAGATCACACATGCCACTTTATATTACCCTAGCTCATAAGTGCATGAGCGTTTTCTTTTGTATAATTTATTTTAAATATTTCATTAGAAGAATGCAGTGGAGTCCTAAGATGATCCTGATGGCTGAAAACAAATTATTCACGGTGGGCACTTGAGCAAGAAAAACCTTTCTCCATGTAGTCATTTGTGGCCCTTTATCTCCTCTTATTTTTAATTCCAGCTCAGCCCCTCTGAATTCCTGAAGGAGATGTCCCTCACCACAGAAGAGCGTCTGTCTTCAACTCGAGTGATGTGCCGGCCACAGATCACCGAGCTTTTAGATATGGGAGAAACCACTCATCAAAAGGTAGCCCACCACTTCTTGGCCCCGGGGTTCTGTTCTTGTTCTTTCTCTTCCTATCTTGTTTTGTATTTCTGCTGCTAAGATCTCAAAATGACTCAAGAGAAAAGTTTAAGCCCTTTGGTTTAAATGCACTTTTTTTCCTCCGGCAGTTGGAGTTAAGTGACTTGCACAGGGTCCCACAGCTAGGCCAAATTTGATCTCATGTCCTCCTGACTCCAGGGTCAGCGCTCTATCTACTGCCCCACCCAGCTGCCCTTAAATGCACTTTTTATACTTCTCAGAATGCCCTTCAGTAGCATCGAGGTCTTTGGATTTGAAATGGCGTCGTTATTTGCAGTTTGAAGAGCAAGGTGGAGAATGAGAATAATCTCGCCCAGTAAAAGTCTTCTTCTCAGGGGTAGGGTGATCCCTCAAGACCAAGGGAAAAGACATATTTATACTGGCACTTTGTTCCTTCCCCCTCAGTCTGGATTCCACATCCAAACAGAAGCTTTTGAGCCCTAAAAAACAGTGATTTTTAAAATACTTTTCCAAATCCCCCCAAATTTTATTGCCATCATCTTAGAAAAGCCAGCTTTAAATCACTATGAGTGAAACCTGGCATTTCCACATCTTTGTGTATGGCAGAAATTCAAATACCTGTGGAGTAAAATGTCGTGCTTTGAATAATTTATGTTTTTGGTCTCATGAAAATATTGCTCACGTTTGTGCTTGTATATACAGCACCTCTCATCAGAAGACCCTAAAACAACATACAAACGCAATCTTGTGTCTCATAGCTCTGTGGTTCAGCTAGAGGAGACGTGAAGTAGACCCTTCCTCCTCTCCCCTCCCATCTCCCCCCAGCCTGAGATTGCAGAGGAAGTCAGTAATGAACTTGGGTCTAGAACCTGATGACAGCTGAGATCCTTTGGATGAAAGGAGGGCAAAAATGTGTCAATAATGGACTACCCTAATGTAGCTAAACACAGAAATGAACAATGGGCATGGATTATGGAGTCTCTACTTGAAAGTCTTTCAAAGTGCAAGCGAATTCAAATCTGTCATTGCTGACAGCGGTATCACCAGTGTTGAGAGTGAGGTGGCACAATGGGTAGGGCCCTGGGCCTGGGGTCAAGAAGACCTGAGTTCAAGTCCAGTCTCGGACACCTATTAACTGTGTGACCCTGGCCAAGTCACTTGACCTCTGCCAGCCTCAGTTTCCTCATTGGTAAAATGGGGATTAATAACAGCTTCTACCTCACAGGTAGTTGTGAAGATCAAATGAGATATTTGTGAAGCATATAGTAGATGCTATAAAAATGTGAGCTATTTTGGGGAATGTTTGAAGTGTAGCTTTACTTGCCAAGGAGTGAGGTTTGGAGTGGGGTCTAAAGTCCTGTCTAACCATATGGTTCTGCCTTTGGCTCAATTCATCCTGAGTTTTCTGTGTCCCACTGTTTCTGTTGTCTGGTTCCTGCACACGCCCCGTCTACTCAGATTAGAGTTTTATGTCACCTTTTCTGCTGATTTATTCTTAGTCCTCACAGTTGTGTGATTTTTGTCCTTTGTTGGCCTCAGTTTTTTTCCCCCTGTCTTTCTCCTGAATTTCAGTCCTGAAATAGGAATTGATTGATGGGCATCTCTCCCTGGACGTCCCCGTAGTTATCTGAAACACTCATGCCCAAAGTGACACTCATTCTGTTTTCCTGTAAGCCTGCCTTCCCCACGTGTCGCTGTTTCTCTTGTGGGCACCACTGTCCTCCCAGTCCCCAGCTCTCAAACCACCCTTGTCCACTCTGTCCCCCGAGCCCCACCTCCAACCATCTGCCAAATCTCGTCAGTTCCACCACCTCGCTGTCTTCTGTTTTGGTGCGCCTTCATCGCTCCACACTTTCTACGTCTGTTTAGCCACTACAAGTCCAGGGCTTCATCATCTCTTGCCTGGATCATCGTAGGAGCTCCTTCATTAGCGTCCTTGTTTCTGTTCTCATCCCTCCCCCAACCGGTCCTCCATAGAGCTCCTGAGGCACAGGTCCCACTGGGTCACTTCTCTGCCCAAAAGTCTTTGGTGCTTCCATGTTAGGATACAAGATCCTCAGCCTGACAATGCAGGCCTCTGTGGTCAGGCTCAAGCTGCTATCCCCGCGATTACTTCACATGAGTCCTCTTTGTGAACTCTGCATTTCATCTGAGTACTACCAGCTGTTCCCCCCGCTCCACCTGCCGGAGTCTCTAGGGCCTTGTCCATGTTCACATGGAATCGCAAGTGATGCAAAGACACTCTCAAGGTCTCTCTGAAGAACTTTGGAATCAATTGCATGACGTGGGAGACACTGGCACAGGACCGCCCAACATGGCGTACCTGCGTTAAAGAAGATGCTATGGTCTATGAGCAAAGCGTGAAATGCACCAACTTAGAGCCATCTCCGCTCCAGTGTTCACATGGACTGTTTGTGCCCGACCTGTGATAGAGCCTTCCCATCAGCCACACACAGACACACCGTACTCTGACCCCAACATAGTGATGTCACATGGGTCCCCTTCGAGAGCAAAGGACAACAACCAGCAGGCTGAAGTTAAATCTGGCCAATAGAATGAACTCTGTCCTCACACTTTCCTCTCAGAACCCTTATCTTCACTTGCCCTCAAGGAGTTTACTTTCTAAAGGGGGAAGAAAACACACAAAGGGGAGTTGGTAAGGGGGGAGGGTGGACCGTGGGGGTGAGGCAGCTGGTGTGCAGGGGGTCAGCCTGAAGAGGGAGGAGAGGGGCAGGGAGTGAAGTGAACATAGCGTGGGTGCCTCGTGAAAAGGTGGTCTGGGCTAGAGACTCCCAGGCAGGAGAGAGGGCCTCTATGAACCCTTCTGCAGCCTTCCTGTTGTTGGGGCTCCCTCCTCCTCGAAATGACTTATCTCTGGGCACATATTTTTTAGCTTTTATCTAATTTTATTTTTTTTCAGTGAATAAAAATCTATGTGATTTCCCTCCTACCCCCCTTTCAATTAAAAAAGAAAAAGAAAAACAATCTTTGTAACAAATATGAGTAGTCAAGCCAAACAAATTTCTGGACTGGCCATGTTCAGAAAAATCTCTGTCTCAGTCTCTCCCGAGTCCATCACTCTTTGTCAGCAGTGGGCGGCATGCTTCGTCATCAGCCCTCCGGCTGTGTACATGTTATGTTCCCTCGATGCAAGGTGAGTTTCCTGAGAACAAGGAGGATTTCGGTTTCCTTTGTCTCTCAGGGCCTCACCCTGTGACTCACTAGGAGAAGGTGCTTAATAAATGTTCTTGTGGGAAGTCTTTGGGTGTGTTTCTTCCCAGTGATCAACTACCCAGGAATAGGCCCTTGAAACCCAAGGCAGAAGGATGCAAAGCAGCACCTTCCTGTCGGTGCCTGCCCTCAAGGCAGCTGTTTCCAACTGCTACAGTGATAAAGAGAAACCTTTCCCCAAATGAAGCTGCCCCAATACACTTTCCAAGTGAAGAGGGAAAGCCATTTTGTTTTGAGTCAATTCTTAGGCATCTTGTGGGCAGCACAGGAAAAACAAAACCTTCCAAGCACATGCGCTTCATGCCTCTCGTTTAAAAACTGGCATTTTCAGTGAGGAAATGGCTACACGGCTGAGCCACAGCATGTATTATCTATTGTGTGCTGAACCCAGGAGCAGTGTTGAGAAGGGAAACACAAAGGAAGGATTCCTGTTGTTGAGAAGTTTATAGCCTAGTATATTTCTCAGATTCTATTATGTGAGTAGTGTTAACATCATTCTTTGCCCTAAAGAAAAGACAATTTATTTGAACGTGTAAGGAAGAGGTTCATAAAATGACTTTGGGGTATGTGTATATCATAGACCCCTCGGGCCCCTTCAACCCTTGGGTGAAAGCTATGGACTAATTTCTCAGAATTGTGTTTATAAATGCATATAAGAAAATACACACAAAAAAAATTTAAAAAATTTTAAAAAAGAAAAAAAAGAAAATACACAGAATGACGAAGGAATCCAATTAGATTGAAATACAGTTATCTAGATAGAGATATAAAAAGCTTGCAGACCTCAGCTCAAGAGCCACTTCTGTAAGAGTTAATTAACCCAAACCACTTAAGCTAAAAGTTATTTCTCACAATTACTTAATCCATTCGGACTTACTAACTTTATTCTAGACGATGATCATTACAAAGCTACAGATAGACCTGATTCAGACGTGTCCTGGTTGTTTTTATCAGGCATATTTTGAAGTCAGGGATACTTAGAAAGGAATTCTAAATGAGACTGTTAAGAGAGAATATGACCTTGGGTCAGTAAGGGCCTCTGTGAAATTAAGAGGTGGCAGGATGGCCTTCCCCTGTGTTAGGGCACAAGTTAGAAATGGGCACTTGGATTTCTTTAAAGCATTATCATGACCCAACTGTCCATTTAACATCTTGGTTAAAAGTAGGGGAAATAGAAATAACCTGACTTTGTGGAGAAGGTTGTCTGGGAATATGGTAGATGGTGCAGTGGGTAGAGCACCAGCCCTGGAGTCAGGAGGACCTGAGTTCAATGTAGCCTTAGACACTTACTAGCTGTGTGACCCTGGGCAAGTCACTTGACCCTGATTGCCTCAGGGGTAAAAAAAAAACCCAAACCCAAGCCATCAACACAGAACCTTCCTTGGGTAAATGACTACCCTTTCCCTACTGTGGCTTCTTTGCCAGCATAAGCTCGGTGACCCCCTTGGGGCCACTGTCTGAAATAACAGTTTTTCAAAGCTATTCAATGAAAACAAACAAGCTTGCAGAAAACTGGGGTCCCAAATGTTTTCTAATTTGTTGTAGTTTGAACAGATTAAAATTCTTCACTAGGTCCTCCCATAGCATAGGCTGTCATCTCACTGGGCTGGAAGCACATAAGCAGCATTGAAGGAACAGGGAACATTTAGCCTGGAGAAGAGAAGATATGGCAGACATAGCTGTGTCGAGATGGCATTAGACTTCTTCCAGGCCCCACGAGACAGAAAGAGGAGCCATGGTGAAGCACTTCATTTTAATGCAAGGAGAAATTTCCTAATAATCCGTCGTTGTTGAGTCATTCCAGTCATGTCCGACTCTCATGACCGCATTTGGGGTTTTCTTGGCAGAAATACTGAAGCGGTTTGCCATTTCCTTCTCCAGCTCATTTGACAGATGAGGAAACTGAGGCAAACAGTGACTTGCCCAGGGTTACACAGCTAGGAAGTGTCTGAGGCCAGATATGAAATCTGTCTTCCTAATTCCAAGCTCTGTGCCCTATCCACTGTGCCACCTAACTGTCCCCGTAATACTCAGAGGTATGAACAAATGGAGAGGGTGGCTTCCCAAGAGCCCTTTGAGGGAAGGCTGGATGGACCACTTGTCATGGACGCTCTAGAGGAGATTACTGAGTTAGACAAAGTGGCCTCCAAAGTGCCTTCCAGCCCTGAGACTCTGTGCAGAGTGGGTAGAATAAATATAGTCTAAGATACTTTCCTCTCATTACCCTTTTAAAACAAATACATGCACATACACACACACACGTCACAATACCTACATATATGTCATTCACATACGCATATACATACATACTGTCCATATGTACACGTAAGCAACAAGGATGGTATGCAGGCCTTCTTGGGGGGACTGCCTTCCCTTTTTACTCCAAACCCCCTAGATTGTAGGTTCTTCATCTTGGAAGCAGGGACGCCAATTGAGAGGCTATTGTAAAGGTCTAGGCAAGAGGCATTTTTTTCTGCCCCCAGTCCAGTCTCCCAAAGCAGCACATCTCTCTGGTCCTAAAGACACCATTAGAATATGACTGATGCATTAAGAAGCTCCTGCTACATTCACATCCATCTGTCTCCTTAACTTTAGTCTGTTTTCCCTCTTACTTGACAATCCTAGTATTGACCACGGAGATAGATTATGTGATTCCCTACCACATTCCACAGGCAGCGCCATAGTGTCATCCTCTGTATAATAGTGTACATCTGACTGGCTGTTCAGCCACCTTACTGTTCTCTGTGAGATGGCTTTGGTTTCCATGGTCTCTCCTGTTGCCTTAGCAACAGTTGCTTCTTCTGGAAGAGGTGAGCCCGGGCAAGGACTTTTTGCTTCCTTGGCACTTTGAAGGCCTCCTGTTTTGGCTTCTGTGGGGCCAGGCATCCCATTTTCTCTCTTGCCTTGGTTTGGAGCATGGCCATGGTAACTCTGGATCACTCACAGCCTGGTTATAGCCCTGAAGCTGGAAACGGGGAAGAAAGAGAAAATTTTATTCACTGGCCTAGCCTTCTTTAATTTGAAGGAGTTTTCCAGTGCTTTCTTTTTGTTAGGGATTCTCCTCCTTCTGTATTAATTTAAGGACTTAAATTATTATCATCATCATTATTATTAGCTAGAAATGGGCTCGTGTTTAAAGAGTTGAGAAGTTAAAGATCAGCAGCTGGTGTTTTAGTTGATCTCGCTAGAATATCTGGGGAAGAAAAATGAACTGAACAAGGCAGATGAAAAACATTTAAAATCAATCAGTTACTCTGGAGTTTGACTACAAGACTGAATTAATTTAAGGACTTTTAAGGCAGTAAATTTAATTGCTAGTCTTCACTACTAATGCTTATAGTGTTAGGCCAGCCCTCTGTTAGCAAACGTCTTCTCTGAAGGTTTCCTGTAAGTTTAACCAAAGTGTTCTTCAGAGGCCTCCTCACGGTGTAGACATCATCCTGGGTTCCTGAGGTATGGTGGGGCCTAACAAGTTGGAATGATTTCAAGTACAGACCTGGTGATGGACTGTATTTTGTTTGGAGAGCTGCATCACCACGTAAACTACAGGGTAGTGTAGCTATTCAAGTCTGCTTACTCGGAGAGGGGTTGTGATCAGGGCCAATGCAGGCAGGACCTACGGATTCCAAACCTTGGTTTCTTAAAGTATTGGCTATAGTGTAAGTGTTGGAACAGACCAACAGTCTTATTTCCTTGCCTCGTGATTTCTGTAATTGGGTGAATCTAATAATTTGGCGGTACTTTTAATTTTTCAGTATTCAACGATTGACCTGGATCAGACCTTATTCCAGCCGTTCCCATCAGAGATTGTATTTCAGAACTACGATGCCTGTGAAGTCTATGAAGTACCACTGATTCTTAGAAACAAGGACAAGGTAAGTCCCTTCACTTAGGCACCTCGATCTTTGCAGCCCGTGGGATGAGTGGTGAAACCAGGTCAGGTCTTTATATGTGGCAGGTCCAGGGAGAAGGTATGAGAAATGTATGTTTTGATTGGTATCAAGGCAAGGGGATCTACTGCCTCTTAAACTCATAATTTAAAACCTTAAATACGACCAGTTGGTTTGGGATTTTTCCTTTATAACTGTGGAAGAATAACTAATAGAGTTTATATAAAAATGCAAATTGGAGAGTCCTTATATTTTCTTTAATTAAAATTTCAAACTAGATTTGACAGAACCTGGGGAAAGTGATAGTAAGACACTGTTAAGTTCTGCAGAATCTAATGTTGTTCTATATTGAATAAATTACTCATACATCCCTTACTGTGACCTCCCTCGATTTTAGATATTCTCCAGACTTTGTCTATAAGCAGGGACTCCAAGTCTAGCGTCTGTAAACTTATTATTACTTTCTTATGTTGGTAAATGTATTTCACTATGATTGGCTTCCTTTGTAATTGTATACATTTCATTTGGTACGTTTGAAAATAGACTTCCAAGAAAGGGTGCATAGGTTTCACCAGACTGTCCAAGGAGGCTAGGACACAAAGATGGTTAAGAAGCCCTGGTCTGCAGCCAGTCAAAGAAGGCTCCTCTGTAGTGCGTGTATTGTACGTCCTGGGGTTTAGTCTAGCCCTGGCCTTCTCTTTGTTTTTCGGAAAGGTGCTTCCTTCCTGGGCTTGCTTTGTCTTCTTTAGAGTCAGATTAGACAGTATTTCAAAAGAAAATATTAAATGTCGCTGGGCTCTGCATGACACCTGGCGGAAAAGCTACAAAGAATAGAACAAAGTCAGTGTGAAGAACAAGCGAGCGTGAAAAATAATGAGTGGGAAAAAAAAGCATCTGAGAGATGCAAACGTTTAGGTGTGAAGGCAGATGGGGACACTGTAAGATGGGTGAGGAGAGAAGGAATTTATATATAAAGAGACAAGAGAACAAAATGAAGAGCATTGAAAAGATTTGCAGATCTATCCGGTGCAGTAACTCATGAAAGGAGTCAGTGAGGCCTCTCAGAGATCAATGGGGTAATTTAGCGGCAGAAAAGGTAGACTCAGCAGAAAAGAGCAGATTTAATTCTTCGCTGCAGCATTAGCAAGGGAGGATAATGAGACTAAAACTAAAAGAGCGACTGTGAGAGCAAAAGGATTCTTCAAGGAGCTCAGGGTCACATTTGAAAGCAGCCGTGGTGCTGCAAAATGCAAGGGAAACCCTTGTCCTTCCAGTGAAGGGTTTTGGGGTTTGCCAACTATGTCACTTCCTGTTAAGTAAGCATATGACTTAATAATTGTTTATACAGGCTTTATATATATGAATATATCTACATTTCTTTATTCACCATCAATATCTATTTATCCTATTATCTATCTGTCTACCATCTGTCTAAATATCCATCCACCTATCTATCTGTCTGTCTCTATCTATCTACCCGTCTATCATTTATCCATCTGTTTATCTGCCTATCTATCCATCTAAATATCTATAATCTATCTAAATATCCATCCATCCATCCATCTATCATTTATCTATCTGTCTGTCTATCCATCCATCCATCTATTGCCTTGAGCTAATTTCTATCTCTGCCTTATGTATCCTAAGACATAGTAAACAGGGAACTAGCCCATTGTAATGTGTTGGATTCTGGTTGAGAATTAGGAGTCCTGGGTTCCAGAAATAGCCATATGACCTTGAGCCAATCCCTTCCTTTCTTTGGCCTTTGGTTCCCTTCTCTGAGAAGTGCAAAGGTTGCACTATATGGTCTATAAGACCCAATCCAGCTACACTAGTCTGTGGTTCTGTAAATAAATGGGTATGTGAACCCTGTAAGCTCTAAAGATCCTTATTCCAATTCCCACTCTCACTGATGTGTTTCAGGTCCTCATTTCTCTCTCAGACTTCTGCGTGCCTGCAAAGAGCCAGGGGTGACTCCAAGGCCATTGGCTTGAGCCCTCCTTGAGGCACTTCTCCCCAAGATGATCAGTTGAGAATCATTTGTGGAAGATCTTAGAGAGATTCTTTTCAAGAGTGGTATAGTAAGAACAATTGGTGCAAAACATGCCCCCCACCCCCCAACTCTGTGACCACCTCTCCCACAAATACATAGAGTCCTGGGGAAAGTGGGCCCCGGCTTAGAGAGCTCACAGGGCAAAGGGTTGATTTGTGTTTTGTGTTTTGTGGCTGGAAGGCCTTTTCTCCTGTTCAGGGGGTGCTCCAGAAGTTTGCCTTAGACATGGTGTAGTTTCTTTACTGGACTCCTTATAGTGATGAGTCCGTTTGCAATCTGTCCTTGGCCCCCAATATAGGCTCTGCTATTCACTGATGTGCTAGGACACCAGTGGGAAGATGGGAAGTCCAAAATTTTCTGGACCCTTTGATTCTTCCAAGTCCTGTTCTGATTGGGGGGAGAGGGAAGGAGAACTATGCAAGGCCAAAACCAAGATCTCTCCGTGTCTCCTCTTCCTCGAGGTCATTCCCCTTCAGGGGAAAGCCAAACTCATTCTAACCTCCGGAATAGCCCTGCTTCTCAATTAGCATGACAACTTGTAGATGACCCCTGGCCTGTGACCATGTTTCCTCGATCTCTGTAAATCCTCTTTCCCAATATAATGTCATTTTAGTGCCGCCAAGTACTTCTAGCAATTAGTTTAAAGCCTGCGATCCGGAGTGATCACTTAGGCCTTTTATCACTTACTTTAAATGGCATGTTGTTGTTCTGTTGTTTCATTGGCGTCTGACTGTTCATGACCCCAAGTGGGGTTTTCTTGGCAAAGACACTAGAGTGGTTTGCCATTTCCTTCTCCAGCTTATTTTACAGATGAGGAAACTGAGGCAAGCAGGTTAAGTGGCTTGTCTAAGGTCACACAGCTAGTAAGTATCTGAGGCACCATTTGAACTCATGTCTTCTTGACTCCAGGCCCTGTACTCTATCCACTGCATCACCTTGCTGCCCTTAAATGGCATAGGGCAGTTTGATTCAACTGGTCAATCAACTCCCAGCCTTACAGGTGCAAGTAAAATAATGGCAGAGACCTTCCAGTCAACTTAGCTCAAGATGAGTTGCATGATCTCTGACTCTTCTCATTTTCTTATATTTTATCTGATCAAGTTCCCACAGTTTTCCAAATGCTATGAATTAAAAGAGTTCCAACTTTGAAAGGCAAAGAATCCAGGTAAAATCCTACCCTTGATCAGTGATGAGACTTCTACTTTTGATGCCAATGGTGGTGGCCACCATCTTGAAGGACTTGTCACTATGTAATGTGGTTATGAGCACTTCTCCTTTACTTTGACGTTGGCCTCCTGTCTTTGTACTGGTTTGAAAGTGGGATTTCGTAAGAGTATGAGCTCACCAAGGGCAGGGACTGTTTCATTTTGATCTCTGTAGCTACAGCACATAGCTCAGCGTCTGTTACGTAGCAAAGGCTTAAATGAATGTTGGTTTAGAATGGAAGTGAATTTCATCCTATGGATGATAATCCCTGTTTAACTGACTAGCGTTGGGATGGTGACACAAGCTATTAATTATACCTTCTGGTCCTAAAATATTCCCACAGTCAAAGATAATAGTCAATGATGGAAATGATTTGGAGACCTGACCCTTTGGAGATACTATTTCTTCTGACACCTGTCCCAAGAATTTTTGAATGAGTAATGATGTGTAGCCTTGACCAGAAGCCAACTGAATGAGGTTAACGCTTTAGAGACTGACTTGAACAACTTTGCTTACCATATGTCAGAGAGCCCTTGGCTGTCAGAACTGGAAGAGATCTTAGAGTTCATCTCTATCACCCTCTCCTCATTTTATCACTCAGAAAAATGGACGTCCAGAGACATCGAATTAGTTGTTGAGGGTCACATATCTGGTAAGGGATAATGTCAAGACTGGAAACTCACCTGGTGAGTGATTGAGCCGAGACGAAGAGGGTCTTCTGAATTTAGCCTATGCTCATCCTTTTTCAAGCCTCACTTTCCATTCATTTTCTCATATTTCTCAGAGATACTCCATTTGTCCATAATTGCCTATGTTTTCTCTGCAGGTTCCAAGACTGGTGAAGATTGTTGAGGAAAGTTCGCCTTACTTCAAAGTCATCAGCCCCAACGATATTTGTAATAAAGTAGCCCCAGGGGTGCCATCTACGTTCCGAATCCTCTTCACTCCAGAAGAGAACAAGGTAAACTGCCAATCATCCGAGAAATGGGTGCCTTTGTGATTGGGGCATTCCTACTGGTGGAATGGAAAGGAAAAATAATAGCTAGCATTTGTGGGGTGCTTTAAGGTTTGCAAAATGCTTTAGACATATTATCGTCTTTGGTCTTTACGATAATCCTGTGAGCTGGGCTCTGTTATGATCTCTATTTTACAAGGAAGAAAACCAAGGCCCACAGATATTAGGTGACTTAGCCGTAGTCACACAGCTAATATATTTTTCTGGCAGGATTTGATCTCAGACATTCCTAACTCCAAGTCCAGTGTGCTATCCACTGTACCACGTAACTGCCTTTAAAATAAAAGCGATGTAATGTTTTAAAGACTTTTTTCCTAAGGAAAGAAGCTTTGAAAACCCATTTTATGTGTTTGTGTTTTTCCATACCTCAGAAAATTTTGATCTCTTAGTTAATTTTTTATTTCAAAAGTATATTTAAATATAGGGAAAGCTAGGTGAGCCTACCCATCTGGTAATTACAGAATCAGAGAAGGGGAGATACTACCTTTTTGATTTCTAAATATTAAATATAAATAAAAATGAAATAATTATTAAACACACTGGAAGACACACCTTGACTTTTAACTCCTTCTCTTCTGAAATCAGCATCTTCAAGGTATTATAAATTTTAATTGGGTTATAAATTTCTGTTTAAGCATCATTTTATAGACTGTAAATTGCAAGACATATCTAGCCATTTATTTTGAGAAAACTAATCTTATTCATGTTACATAGAATCCTAGTCTAGAAAGGAACAGTGAGCATGAACTCTCTATTCTAGACCAAGGAAGATAATGACGTTCATCCTGGGTACAGTGGAAAGGAGACTGCAGTAGGAGATAGGATACTGAGTTCTGGTGTTGGCAATAGGATACCGAATTCTAGTCTTGACTTTCTGAGCTCTGCGATTTTGGGCAAATCTGCACAACATTCCATATTTTCAGTTGCTTCAGCTAAAAAAATGTCTTATTTAAAGGCAGTGAGACAGGCCAGAGAATCATTTGGAATCCCTTCCAGTGCCAAGATCTATGATTCTATAAACTGCCCTGTCCCAAGTACATGGCCACCACCACTGCCACTACTGTTATTATTAAAGAACATTTATTAAACTCCCATATGTGCCTATTATAGAAGCAACTGGGGTTGTGCACAGGTAGGAGGCTGGAATTAGAATCAGGTAGACCCATCTTTGCATCTTGTCTTTGACACTCACCAGCTATGGGACCCTGGACAAGCCATTTAACCTCTTTGTGCCTCAGGCAACTCCCCGGGAGTTATGTATTAAGTTGCACGTAGGTTGTGATCTGCGTTGGTGGAAGGAGACCTCTCACCAAGAGTTTCTCTTGCTGACAGAATCACAGATCGCTGTTTACCTATTGCTATTGTTGATGCCAGAAGAAGATCTAATGCTTGTAGTAATGCACCTTATGCTTGTATATTACTTTAAGATGAACAAAATGTTTCCCCCAAATCTCTGTGAGGCACAAGTTTTGAAGCCAGAATTTCCATGTCCTTGGACTCAAAGCCTCTTTTCATTGCCACCTCTTACATGAGCAGATAGATCTTAATCAGGTATTGGAGGAAGAGATGAAGCTACTTCTTTGCTACTAGGTGGGGATGGATCTGGGTCCCTAGAGCAGGTGGGGCTGTTTCTTGCTGTTCTCCAAGGGATGAGCCACCCCCAGTGAAAACCGTTCAGAGCAGCTTAACAACATACTCCCCTCTGGCTTTCGGGCTTTATGACCTGAACATTGGTACAAATTTAAAATACAAGAACATGTATAATGTATAATATAAGAAGAGGTAAAAGGGTGGCAAATCAATGAATAAGAACCTCTCCAGGTAGGTTTTTTTATGTCAAGCTTATATCTTTACTCTCTACTCCTTTATAGTGGTTATTGCTAAGTCATTTGTGGTTTTGACTGTGGTTCCTGGGTACCTAAAAATCTTTCTTTCTGGAAAAATGCTTGTTATTTTTTTTCCTTTGACTTGGAAGCTATAGATTTTGGCTGTAATGTTCCTGGAAGTTTTTATTTTGTTTTTTTTTTTCCAGGTGATGACCAGAGAATTCTTTTTATTTTTACTTTGCCCTCTGGTTCTAAAAGATCTAGGCAGTTTTATTTTATGATTTCTTGAAATATGATGTCTGGGCTTTTTTTTTTTGTAATGGCTTTCAGGCAATCTAATGATGCTTTTTAAAAAAAATTTTTATTAATGTCACTTAAAAAATTTCCCTCAGTATAGTATCCCTCCTCCCACCCAGGCAGCCATGCCATATAACAAAGAATATATTTAAAAGAAAAAAAAAGAGAAAAAAGTAGAGGAAAAAATTGGGATAACTGATCAATACATCAAATAAGTCAGAAAATATGTGCAATACACCATACTTGTAATCCAGTGATTCTTAAACTCTCTCTCTCTCTCTCTCTCTCTCTCTCTCTCTTTCTTCAATCTGTTTTCTATGTTAGTTGTTTTACATGGGAAATACCTTAAACTCTCTTTTATTTTTCAATCTTTTGACATTTAATATTTCTGGTTGTTTCATGAAGCTATTGGCTTCTATCTGGTCCATTCTAATTTTCAAAAAGTCTGTTGCTTGAAAGGCTCTCAAGGTATAGAGACATCAAAATTATGGCAACAGGAAGAAGCACCTATCATCGCCATCATCCTGTCTGTTAGTAGAGTTTCCCTGAAGATGCTTTCAGTGAGTCTGTAGAAGATGAGCTTATTCAACTACATTTTAATTTTTTCATTCAACTATATTTTTGTTTAATTACATTTTTATTTTTATTCAGTTATAAAAAGCAATGATTTTATCTACCTGCACAATAATCTATAGAAATTAGACAGAAAAGGATTTGTTGTGGTTCAGTTGCATCCAACTCTTTGTGACCCCATTTGGGACTTTTTTGGCAGAGATACCATAGTGGTTTGCCATTTCCTTCTCTAGCTCATTTTCCAGATGAGGATCTAAGGCAAACGAGTAAGTGACTTGCCCAGGGTCACACAGCTAGTAAGTGTCTGAGGCTGGATTTGAACTCAGGAAGATGAGTCTTCCTGACTCCAGGCCTAGTGCTCTGTGCACTATGGCGCTACCTAGCTGCCCCTATAAAAGAAATAGTAGTGGGATAGCAACTTGTCCCAGGACTATTTCTGTCTGAACTCCATCAAAAATGGTAAGCTCGATAAGGACACAGTAATAATGGATTGATAATTACTTAGCTTCACCTCTAAGGTTACTTTGAGCTGTAAGCTGGTCACAGAGGTCAAAATAAGGCACAAAATAAGGCCAGTGCAAAAAGGACCACTCAGAGCAACCGTCATCTCTCTTTTTCTTCTGAGGAGGGGATACCTTTTTGGTGGAGGGTTGGGTTTCAAGAATTCTTTAAATGACCAAAAGGGAAGGTGCCTGGAACCCTGGCAGGTGTATGAACCATGTGCAGACAGCACCGTGACCCAAGCTACAGAGCTGGGAGCAGAGAATGCCCTGTGCAGTGGGTTTGCTTGGAAAAGGCAGTGAGATTTAAAGAGAACAGAGGGTGATGAGGGAGGCTAAAGAACCTGGTAAGGAACCTGACATCTGTATCCAAGCACTGGGAAGAATAAGGTGCTGGCGGCAGCTAGGTGGCGCCACAATGCACAGAGTGCTGGACCTGGACTTAGGAAGCCCTGAATTCAAACGTGCCCTCACACTCATACTAGCCATGAGAATCTGGGTGGAGATACTTTACCTCTGTCTGCCTCAGTTTCTACAATTGTAACATGACGATAATAGAAGCATCTACCTCTCAGGGTTGTTTGTGAGACTCAAAGGAGATAATATTTGTGGTTTTTTTTTTCAGAACATAATTATTTGTAAAGTGCTGTTAGCATTGCCTGGCATACAGTAGGTGTTTAATAAATGTTTTTTTTTCATTCTACCTTCCCCCTTGTAGTTTAGGTACAAGGGCAATAGCTTGGTCTAAGAGTAAAGACTTGGAACTTGAGATATGGCTTGATATATGGAAAGGAAAAGGAGATGGTCGTGAGCATCTTTCCAGCTTTGTCCCTCCCAGCTCTTTAAGGACACAGAAAGAGTATGTGTTGACCTGTTGTCTTTGTTCAAAGTCTGTTGTACTGAGAGGAAGCAGGAAAGGAGTATTTTTTTTTTGCAGGACACTTAGCACAGTTGTGGGTGCTTATAAAATTGATAACCAGAGTGCTAACAATACCACCCCTTCCCCAATATTCCTTGATACTTTGTAGTCATATATTTATTTCCCTAATTGGTCTAGATCCGTAATTCTAAATCAAATATATCAGTACAGAGATAGATGAACACAGCCACGTAAGTAGGGTTTAGTTACATTTTAAAAACAAGTCATTCTTTTCTCTAAGGCATTGTATATGAGATCTGTCTCTGAAATGATGGGCACTTGGGACACAGTTAGGTATTCAGAATTATTTACTGCATGTTCCTAAATGAAAGTAATTGTGAGTTTTGTTTCATGTAAGTCAGACTGCTGAATGGAAGCAACGTGATCTTCTTCCATCATCTCGTGATGGAGAAAACACGCCTTCTGTTGGATAAGCATATTTCCATCATGCAGGATTAAGAACCCTCTGGAGAATTATTTTTCTGCATAATTACATAGTAAATAAATAGCTGAAATGCATCTTAGTTCTACTGGCACTGACTTCATGAACATGAAAAGTTAATATTTCCATTGGGGCCTGCTTCCAATGAGCAACTCTAGATGCTGCTTTGTTCCCATGGTTCTGTTCTGCGGTTCTTTGTGGCACTGTGGACATTTTCATTCCAAAATTCAATTCCTTGTGCCCATATAGTACATATCTACTGGGAAACTTTTGATTTTAAAATAAACTAATCGAAAGTTTCATGTATTATTAATCCTTTCAGGTTTTTAAAAGGTACTGAAAGCTGTAAAGTTCTATTTCTAGGATATGAATAGGCATGGGGAGAGGTG